CCCCGTTAGTGCGCTTTACGCACATCGTAAGCCACATTGTTTAGTTGGGGCAAAGGCCAGACCACAAAAAAAAATAAAATAAAAATTCTTCCTACGGTAGTGCTTTGTTTAGGAAAATCACCTGTCGTTCCTCAAGTGTAAAAAGCTGAAATTAACAGCTTTTATATAAGATACTGCTATAATTTTAGATTTTATTCCTGCTATGAAATATTATAACAGATCATCTTAATGATTTATTTTCACGATATTCCTGGTAGGATGTAACAAAAAGCATGATAGACTGAAAAAAGGTTTAATAATTGACCTTTGAATTCAGCAGCGTCTAACTTATAATCCAATCCTACCAACTGTAGATTTTGCTGAAAATCAATTGAAACAAACGAATTTTAATTATAAAGACAACCAACAGATAAACTCGATACTTTCTAATATTGAGAGGCAACATTAACGACAACTCTCTATAAAATCGATATAAATAAACGTCAATATGCGTGTTTATATGTTTCCACATTTCTTGATCAATCAAGACCAAAGTTGACACAGTGATACAGGATGAGATGAGGGACTCCCACATCTAATTTCATATTGATGGAATTATTGAAAACAGTATGTCTTTCTTTTCACTATTGGTACCTTTGTGTATTTTTATTGCACTTTTAATGTTTATTGTGTTAAGAAAAAGATAATAGAAGCACAATTTCCTATCCTTTGTTATAAACGAGTGTATATTTCATCCGTCGAACGGTCAAAAACAGAATTTATGAAGTAAAGAGTGAATGCAACAAAGTCTATATCGATAGGTCAGATAATTTATAAAGTAAAACGTTGTTTGAATGAACACAAATTTGCCATATATATATATATAACAATAATAGATAACTGTGGTTTGAAAAGTGTATTACTTATATTAATTAAACGCCACAACATAGGAAGCAATTTTTGAGTGGTCAAGCCATTGTCACAGCTAAACAATGTGACACACGATGTGTACAAAGCATGCCATTTCAAGGAGAGGTTTGGGGACATACCCCCAGAATTATTTTTAACATAATGCTATGAGATTGAATCTTGAGCCATTTTAACTAAAATACTACATACACACAACTAAATGTATGGAATTTAAAGAAGCAAGTTTTAATACATAAGTAGAAGCTATACATGCCATGCAAAAGTAGTCAGGCCATGGCCTGAGTGGCCTTACCTCTTCCTATGGCCTTTAGCATACATGAGTAAACTAATTAACATAACAAGTGATGAATCAAAGCTGAGAATCTAACAAACACACACACACAAAATAATAGATTAACGTAATGCTGACGACATCAACAGACGAATTTACTGAGCTTCAGCTAGTTATATTAAATGTATAAACTGTTAAATTGGTACACAGGAAATTCCATGATCATAACACAGCCTAAGCTCATGTTCATTATTACCAACTTCCTATAACATCAAGGCCAAGAAAGGAAACAATCAAAAGGTCAGACGCGTGGGCCAAGATTCGAAGTTTTAAGATGATGAAAAACATAACTCTACTGTCGAGGCCGCTTTCTCTTGGGCCAGTCAATTGTAAAGCGCCTCTTTAGGCCAAGTACACAGTAGTTGTATGACGAACTATCAGGTACTGAAAGATATTCTAATGTTCAATTAAGACCAATTGTGGGGAAAACGTGAAGAAAAGAGAGCAGACAAGAAAATAAAGATTCGTAATTGAGATGTAATGCCAAATTTCCATCAATGCCTTTTCTAGTCAAACCTGTTTACACTTAATTTGATACACTTTTCGTTCTGATTTGAGATTGGTTTAGTCTTATATTAGTTCATTTATGAACAAATATAACATAATTGCATATCAAATTTTTTGTCAGAATAACACTCATTTATAAATGACTTAAATAAAGTTGATAATAATTACGAATTCACTTGCTTAATCTCACACCTTAATGTTGTAGTACATGAAAACTGATGATATACAACACCTGGACCACTGCTGTGTCTATCGTACCCAAGCTGGCCTAGTGAGCCCTGGTATTAGGCGAAAGGCCTCTTAGGCAATGGATATGGCAAATGTAATATGGTTGGTATGTTTTAGCATATTCTTATTTACTTTCACTCTTGTGTTCTTAAACGAAGCACAGTCGAAAAACTGACTGAGGACAAAAATCCTAAGTCTTTTATTCCATTGGTTCTTATACTCTCCAAAAGCCTTCTGTTAACAATTTGTCAACATTGGTATTCTGAAATATTGTAACATCGTATCTGATCCTACAAATATGTTGTACTGTGTTCCTAAATCACTGGAACGCATATTGTACACAAATACATTTAATACAAAAATAATAATAATAAATTCCGCTCTCCTTCTAAGAATTTCTTTTCACTGTGGGAAACTTGTCTGCTGAAAATAAGTGTTAATTATTCTACTCTAACAGTTTCTCTATTCCAATGACAGTATACTAACCAGAATTCTTGTTCATTATTTTACTCTAACATTTTCTCTATTCCAATGACAGTATACTAATCAGAATTCTTGTTCATTATTCTACTCTAACAGTTTCTCTATTCCAATGGCAGTATGCTAACCAGAATTCTTGTTCATTATTCTACTCTAACAGTTTCTCTATTCCAATGACAGTATACTAACCAGAATTATGGTTCATTATTCTACTCTAACATTTTCTCTATTCCAATGACAGTATACTAACCAGAATTCTTGTTCATTATTCTACTCTAACATTTTCTCTATTCCAATGACAGTATACTAACCAGAATTCTGTAAAGTAATTTTGGTTTGTTCAGAAGTTTATTTATGTCCAGTAACTCCTGACGAAGATGTTGACAAACTAAGCATAAAAGTTGATAAAATATGTTTGACTATGACTTAGGCTTAACATATAAGACGTGAGTGTGTGTTACATTACAATAAGAACGGACACTAAGCCTTAATTAATAACAATAGTCTTTACTAAAACAGCGAAGATGGTGAATAATATTATTATCGATCTTAATATGACGTAATAGTACACTTTCGCCTCTTAATATCTACCTTGCTTTGTTATCACTTAGAGGTCGCCGAGATTAGGAAGTATTAACTTTTTTGGTATTGAATTTAATGCACTATGCTGCTCTTACCTTCACTGGACGCGTTGTTGAGAGGTCTTTTGTACTGATATAAGGACACTGTCAGTCCCGTGTTCCTCTCAGGCAGTCTTGGAATCTTAAAATGGTGAAATTTCCAGTGGAGTAAATCAGGTTTACTATTCAAGTCATCCAGCTTTAAGTCTCTGTCCTTGAAAAGGCGTAGCTTGGCCAGCTTTATCTTTGCTTGTGGTGTGGTTGTCAGGAAGTTGGCATTGTAGTAAATGTTAAAACTCCGTGAGTCATCCCACAAACTTTTATCAGTCCCTTCTGGTAATGAACCTAAAAGAATCGACGTCAGTCATTGTGTGTTTCAACATGAACTATATGAAAGTACCAAACCGAACGAAGTATTGACTTGTGTAGTTTGTTTCTTACTTGCATCTTCCATATGATAGCAATACACGACTATAACAAGTTATGTTACTGTTTTATAGCAATTATGTGAAAATATTATCAATTATATACCAATAATAGTATCATGGAATTTGGTGTTAGTTTAAGACACTTGACTATGTCGTGAATCTGACCATTTGTGTCACTCAACTCAAATAGATTCAAACTGACAATTCTAAAAATCGTGGTTAATTATTGTGATAAGACTCTCAATGCACCAGCTTCTAAGTTTTAGTGTTGTTGTTTTTTAAGTTTTAAATATTTTTTTTATCCCATACTAGTCAGCCATTTATCACTGTCTTAATCCTAACGACCTAATTTGTATTGCTATAATTTATTTCAAAAATAGAGCAGCGTGGATCAGTGGTCTCGCGCTTTGGACTCCTACTCGGATAGTAGCGAGTTCAAGACTCATCCGCGTTATGTTGTTGTGACCTTGAGCAACACAGTGTACTTCGTTTGTTCCAGCTTGCTTAGCTGTATGATGGATATATATCTGTTTTCTAAGGACTGGCATCCCATCTGGGAAGAATGGGTCACTATTTTTATTAACTTGGAACCATTGGAATCAGACTTCTAAAGCACCGGTCTTATGTGCTTTGAGTACGATAAGGGTTTAAAGCATTTTTTAAATATATTTCAAAGTGCCTAAAGTGGTTGTATTTTTTCTTGTCAAGACTTGAATTGCTATTCAAATGATGAACAAAAACTTTCTTACGTCATCTCTACTCACTAAAATCTTTAAGAAGATATTTGTTTGCTAATTAACTTAACAACGTCTTATGCACACAACCTGCTAAACGGTCAAGCGAGATACTCTTTTGGTTCAGATATAGTCATCCTTAGTTTTGAACTTTGGACCGGAAGGACGGCAACCAATCGCTAACATCCGCAGCTTGAAGCACCTAGTCTTAGCTGAATAACATGATTGACCCTTACTCTTATAATGATCCCAGAGTTGAAAGTGCGAAGTAAGTTTGACAGCACCAAACCCCGAATCTAAGACCCTCGGATCCCCATTCCAACACTCTAAATACCATAGACTACGCCCGGCCTTATGAACATCTAGATATACATATGTAAAGCAGTTAGGTCATTGTACAAGTAATCATTTAAAAGTATCTGGTAGACGTATGTCGTCGTTTGACACATGCAAATAGCAAGATTGTCAAACGTCTATATGAAAAATAAGCAACATATGCTATGTATGTCTTGCACAGAAATATTCTAACACAGAATTTCTAAACACCTTTGCAATAAGCTGCCATAGCCCCTTCCCCCAAAAAAGTTATTTGTTTATTACATTTACAAATGTTTAAGCACTGCGTTAGAAATCACGTACTTTTTTATCCCTTCTATGAATTATAGTCGCATAACAAATTTTTATAAGCAACTTAACAAAATCTAAAAAACGAACGCTCAAAATACAATTGAGATGCTCGGTCCTCTTCATAAAATGTTGGTAACTGTTTTCGAATGGTTAGTTATATCACTTGTCAAATATTGTGATAAATAGACTGACTTACATGAAGGGTAAAAGCTTTGCAACTTCTCAAACCACGATGAATCCTCTTTGGAATTGATTTTATCCATTTTATTCAGAAGTTTACCGAAGTGATGACGAAGTTTCTTTGGAAACGTTGTTGTGACAGTCCGTTCTTGGGATATTCCAACACCAAGAAGTATAAGACTTTTAAGTCGTTCGATCCAGTCCTGCCTCACCCTGCAGAGAAAAATAAACAACTCGGAAAAAACGACAACTACCATGAAAGTATAGGTAAAATATTTACCTCAAAACAAGGAAGGAATTGAATACTCTTTATAGGATAATGACCTTTGCAAAACGTGAGTTAATATTTAATTGCACCACGTAAAACACTGCTTTGCACCAGGTAAAACAGTTAACGATATGATTAAAATTTTGTAAACTACAAGATAGAAAATATCATTCCATGCACCACCAAGTAAGGGTAAAATTCGCCAATATGATATTAAACCAATATCTATATTTTACAAGAGATATACTAGGATATTCAAAGCCTTCCTGTTTTTATAATTTTACACCTGTCTACATTTTATTCAGTATATGGTATTTAGTTTTATTTTACAGGATAAACAATGATCATTTAGTGAAATGATTCAGATATTAAACTCTAATTTCATGGTTTCAGAATTTTTATAATTTCAAGTTAGTTCTTTATTTTGTTAGCGTAGGTTTGTTTGATAGATGGTACTATATTTTCATGGTTTTTCTTTTTGATGCGATGATGGATCATCAATACCGGAAAGAAGCAAAACATTCACATTCTAAACTTTATCGCCATCTGTTGTCAAATTTCGCTTCAACTGGAAGTTACTTTCATGAAGATTGTCTACCAAATGTTTCTCCCAGAGGAATGCTCTCATGGCATGTTATTGGCTAATTAGCAACACGCTTAATCTCACTGTCAACATATTTAATTTTTCTTCCTTTATTGTAATTTTGAGACTTAAAGATTATTCAGTAAAAAAGAGGAATACATAGTCCAGTCCATTTGATTACAACGAAAACGTTTTATTTATTTTTACGACAAGTTCTACAATTCTTATAAATTCTACGTAACTAAAGATAGGGCTAACTTACTTCACAAATACATTTTGTCGCACATACGGTACTTCTAAACTTTTAAGAAAATTCTAGTAATTAAGCCACGTGCTCATCACGTTAGAAACTCCCCTAACCAAAAACAATACAAATTTCAAAATGAAAAACAACAAAAATAACTTATGTTAACATAAATAAATAAATAAAAATCATAAGCCTAATTCTGTTGTGTAATGACCTTAAACACAATTGATTAAAAACAATCTAGTTTAGACAGAGACAGTTGTGCCCCCCAGTGGCACAGCGGTATGTCTGCGGACTTACAACGCTAGAATCCGGGTTTCGATACCCGTGGTGGGCAGAGCACAGATAGCCCTTGTGTAGCTTTGTGCATAATTAAAAACAAACAGAGACAGTTGTTGCTTAAGCAACTAAATGAAGTATATAACGACTCGATCACTCACTACAATTTCTGACGTACCCTAGCCTTACATGTACCAGCTTACATATTATTATATTCATTTTTAATTTCATTTATAAGTTATTATAATTGCCTGACAACGCTAACTTAAATATGTTGCTCTGAATATCAAAAACAATATTTAAATAGCTGCATGTTACCAATTATCTGTTGTTATCACTGTAAGTTATGCTATTGTTTGTGATTTACTAGGTGTAAGATTATCATGATATAATAAATAAAAAAAACCATCTATGTAGGTGTAGTATACCAGATTATTTTAAAGTACCAACGTTAAACCTTGGAAGCTAACGAAAAATTCAATACGAATAGGGCTTACAAACTCGCGATAAAAAGCACGTTAGACCTCAGATTTCTTTTCCACTCTCCTCTCAACTTGCCTGTTAGAGTGTGGTGGAAACTTCAAAAGTTATGGTGTTAACTTAAACTCCGAATATTGGCCAAGCATTGATAGCAGTAAAAATCACACTACACTTCACATATTTTTCACATTCTTCTTAATTCTTCCATTAAATTTTATCTTTACACACTTCTGATTCGAAATTCGTAATGGAAAAGTTAAGAGATTTTTTTTACGTTTGGTTATATGAGATATAAGACTCAACATGTTTATTTCTTTGGAACTTAAAAAAAAAAGAAAAAACGTATCTAAGATGGGACCGTTATTCAAGATAGAGTGACTAACTTTATAATTGTAATATATATATACTATTGTAAGGAAGTCTGATTTAAGATATTGATCAGCCAGGTGTAATCAAGACTAATCTAAGCTTGACATCAAGAAACAGATATTGGTCCGCCAGGTATAGCCAAGAATGATCTTAGCTTAACACCAAGAAACATACTGAACCACCAGATGTAGCCATTACAGTTTATAGCTGGTGTTCTAATGTTACTTTTGCAAATTTAAAAACGACAGTAAAATTTGTTTCCCATACAATAATTACATCTATGTATATATATTTACGTATAATAGATTAATGGGATTAATTTATAATTATTACTTGTGGTAAAAAATGTTTAATTTGTTCTTACCATTTCCGTTAACCATGTATAGGTATCAATGTTAATTTATCACTGCTACTAATATAATTTACATATGTCACTTTCAGTGTTGCCAGTTCTATACAGGTGCACGCCATCCGTTCTGTTCTGTCTTGCTTCGTCTCTCTGTGGCTCAGCGGCAGGTCTGAGACTTATGACACTAAAATCAGAGACAGGCCATTGCGTAGCTTTGTGCTAAAAAAAACAGACTGGCTGGCTGCGTTAGAAACATTGATTTTCCATTGCAATTATTACCCGAACAAGTTTTGTTTGTTTCACCAAGTATTTCAGATTCGAACAAACTGAAACAGAGAAATATCAAGATTCTACCACACCACATTTTTGTGATTTTTCTCTTGGTTCTTATACCTATTTTCTGCAGGTTGAATAGTTAGTGAAAGATACACATTAGTCTTAAACAAGATTTGGCTAGTTTGGGGGAGGGGATTAACAAAATGCAACGTGTATTTAGATATCTAGCGAAGAGCATTAAATCTATAATTATGAGACTGTTTTTTTTTAGATCGACACATGACGTTTTACTGTGTTTGTTATTTTTCTGTAAATTACGTTATACAATTTGTTCCAAGAAATATGTTGGAAAATATATCTATCATTATATGAGTTCTTTAAACATGACATATTTATTTAAGATTATGTCTTCAGTCAGAATCTAGAGCATGTTTTCAGTCCGCTAACGTTTAAGGTTTGTCAGTTTCTGAAAGTTTGAAAGATAAAAAGTTTCAATATTAAAATATTGCATTGTAAGCTACTTCCAGAAAGAAAAAAAAAACTGGTGTTGAAAATAAATTATCAAAACTTTTTTGTTTAAAAGAACGGCTCTTGTTGTTTCCAAACAGTCTGTCGCCTATGTGCCATTCTTTGTGAGTTCTAAATCCTAGCTATCGATTGGAGTCATTCCTGTCTTTGTCTTCTAGTCGTTTGCTTTGTTAAGAATTGTTTTTATTAAAACGAAAAATAAAAAAGTTTCGGGTGAAGAGTGCCAGAAATTTTCTTATTTATCTATTTAGTGACGTTGGCGTCCATGGTTGCGAATTAGTATCATGAAAGCGAACAGTATTTATAAACAGAATAGGTTCCAAGACGTTTCAGTAATTACATTAGTGGATACAGTAGCATATTAACGAAACTAATGCTCCATGGTTGCGAATTAGTATCATGAAAGCGAAGAGTATCTATAAACAGAATACGTTCCAAGACGTTTCAGTAATTACATTAGTGGATACAGTAGCATATTAACGAAACTAATGCTTCATAGTTGCGAATTAGTATCATGAAAGCGAACAGTATTTATAAATCAAATATGTTCCAAGACGTTTCAGTAATTACATTAGTGGATACAGTAGCATATTAACGAAACTAATGCTCCATGGTTGCGAATTAGTATTATCAAAGCGAACAGTATCTATAAACAGAATACGTTCCAAGATGTTTCAGTAATTACATTAGGGGATACAGTAGCATATTAACGAAACTAATGCTTTCGTTGCTCTTGTTGGTAACGTGAGAAAAAAACCCGTATAATTTCAGTTTTGTTTTTATGTACATTATACGCAAAATGTCTATCAATTAAGTATACATAGATATTTCTCTTACTGACGCCTTTTTCATCGTATGTTGGTAGTTTCATCGTATGTTGGTAGTTTCATCGTATGTTGGTAGTTTTCATCGTATGTTGGTAGTTTTCATCGTATGTTGGTAGTTTCATCGTATGTTGGTAGTTTCATCGTATGTTTGTAGTTTTCATCGTATGTTGGTAGTTTTCATCGTATGTTGGTAGTTTTCATCGTATGTTGGTAGTTTTTGCAGAATATTGATACAATACAAGGGGGGAGAGCAAAAACTTTTGTATGTTGCGAGAGTAATTTGAACAAAGTTCGTCAGCTTTACTGATATATGTAAGTTCTTAAAACTTAGATTGCAACCGTGATGATTAAATAAAACATTCTGAAATATATAAAAAAAACATATTTATAAAATTCTTAGTTTAATTGAACGTTTCAACTAAACGATACAGAGTTATAAGCATTTCTTTAAGGCTTCTGATTACAAACAAATTATACATAATCCTACATTTGATAACTCCGGAAATATGACTCGAATTTCAAACATTCAAGGGAAATAATACATTTATCTCAGATTTATTGGAATTAAAACTGGAAACATAATGTTAATATTCATAGCTATCTTAAAAGAAGACCTCAGTGGGACAGCGGTATGTCTGCAGACTGACAACGCTAGAAACCGGATTTCGATACCCGTGGTGGGCAGAGCACAGATAGCCCATTGTGTAGCTTTGTACTTAACTTCAAACAAATGCTTTCATACCTTATTGGTGGAATGTGCTACTTGCCAAAGATATATTTTGTTTGTTTATTTGTAATTTAGCACAAAGCTACACAATGGGCTATCTGTGCTCTGCCCACCACGGGTATCGAAATCCGGATTCTAGCGTTGTAAGTCCGCAGACATACCGCTGTGCCACTGGGGGGCCCAAATATATCTAGTTAGATGTATAGAAATCAAAATGTAGATGATATAACAGATATATAAATAGATAATACAACATTATATTATAACAGATGATATAAATGTAGATGATATAATATATCTTCTTGGAGATATTTCAAGAAATCTTTTTTTGCTTAAATCAAAGTTACGCATATATAGAAAGAGTTTTGAGCAAGAAGTTATTACAGAAGATAAGATGACTTGTATACTATACATACAGTCACTTGACATTTCCAAGATATTTCATTTAAAGTCACAGCAAGTATATGGAAAATGAATAATCTGTCACTGGAAATTGGAAACAACTTCCAACGTATACATTTCTAGGAATCATAATTTAACTTATCTTTTTTTTTCTTTAAAAAAAATTCCCCCATCAGTGGCACAGCGGCAAGTCCGAAAGCTTTGTGCGTAACTACAAATAAACAAACTTTAAAAACATACGAAAAATATGATTATTTTTTGTCATTAAAATTTGATAACGATAGACTAAGTTATAAATAAAAAATGAGTTGTTTTCAAAATCAAGTTTCAAATAAAAGTTGGTTTATTCATAAAACGGACTCACTGTTAAACAAGGTTAACTTTTCTTGTTTTACTGAGCTCTTAAAACTTGGTGAATTCATTATCCGCTAGTGGAAGTAAACGTAAGAAAAAACCTTACATTATATCAACAGTAGTGTTCACCAGTAAACAACGATCCTCTTTTTGACCGGCCCCCTAGTGGCACAACCTTATTGGTGGAATGTGCTACTTACCAAAGATATATTTTGTTTGTTTATTTGTAATTTAGCACAAAGCTACACAATGGGCTATCTGTGCTCTGCCCACCACGGGTATCGAAACCCGGTTTCTAGCGTTGTAAGTCCGCAGACATACACACCAGTAGAACTAAAATAAATAAAATATACTCCTGTAAAAGAACAAACAACTTGAAATGAAAAATCTAGAATGTATTTTAAACTACGACTGAAATAATCTAATTTTAATGCAAACCAACTTACTCTACAATAACTTCCTCCGTTTTTCTTTCTTTATAATGCAATGAAACCGGGTTTCCAAACCTACATTAGTTGTAAAGTGTCAAAACAAACATTTTATTTCTTTATTTTCAGGATAAAGCTGGTTTACAGGGGTTTATAATAATTTGAAATCTTCTTATTTTGAACTTAAGATTTACAAATTTTGACTGTCGTACTTTGTTGTTTTCCTTCTTCTTTTTTTTACACTTCATGTTCCAAGTATTTTATACGTATTAAATATCGAATTTATGATAATAAGTATAATTGTTCAAAACCCCACTGGAAGTTAACAATACAATCAAGTGTTTGTTTTATTGATAGTATATTGTTAGAACTGTTAGCAATCAAAACACCTACATTAGGGGATTTTTTGTTACATATACAAAGTATCAAGTACATGCAATTGATAACAGCTATCAACATACGATGAAAACTACCAACATACGATGAAACTATCAACATACGATGAAAACTACCAACATACGATGAAACTATCAACATACGATGAAACTACCAACATACGATTGATACTTTCATTTTTACATCAGTAAACGAGAATTAAACATAATTAATGTTGTTGTTGTTTGCGTTATGAAGCACAAAGCTACACAAAGGGTAGCCCTTTGCCCACCACGGGTATCGAAACCCGGTTTCTAGCAGTATAAGTCCTTATACATACCCCACCGTTACCACTGGGGGGTTCCTAAAATAATGACCATCTATATTTCTCATCAGTAAGCTAGATTTAAAAAAATATATTGTATATCGACAAATTATACATAAACTGAAAGAAAAACATTGTTCATCAGATTGGGGAACATTAACAAATAATACCTGCTTTTATTTTTCTCTCTTTTTTTTTAAAACGTTTTTTATAGGTGAAGTTTGTGTGTTTTCATGAATGACATAAAAATAGCACAAATGATTAGTTACTAGAAATATTGCTTATTTATTCGCGTTTTTAAGGGTAAAACTATTCAATAGATTTTCTGAGCCCACCGCAAGTACTTAACCTTCAAATTTACCGCTTAGCCGCTGTGGTTACAAAGAGTGAAATTGACATTATGCAAATCATAGTCCTAAGAGTAGTTGTGCTTCAAACTTTAACTTGGTAAGTTCATTAAGTTCTGATTAGTTAATTAGCAATGAAGGTATTCAGTTGCACATTAGTAGATTGATTTTTTTCTGCTCATTTGCTTGATTTCTATAGAACCGATATCACGAACCTGTTTTTGGATTTGATTCTAAATATAAAAGCAGAAACATCATCATTAATTTTAAGACTGGCTCGGATTGTATTGCGAATTGATATTTGACTCACGTGGTTAACAACATTACTTTTCTCCAGCGCCATCCCATCCTTGAGATAATTTGATATTATCATCTATCGTGTTTGTGGTTTTTCAAAATTTCTTTGCAGTTTCTGCATTTAGCTGTGACCGGATGTTGCAAGGTCGAATGTACTATTCCTTAAGCATCCAACTACTGTGTACACGTTTCTGTATGGACTTCTAGGAAGTTATTTTTATTCAAAGAAGTGACGCAGAAACCTGTATAAACTAGCCTTATATATATATAGTTAGAATTGTATGTGGAATAGCGGTTGAAGGATGTAACCTAAAGAATTGTGAGATACTGCGATCAGACTTCGGTCCAACTATAAAAGTGTGGGTATCACTACAAATCTTTTACACTTAATTCTCCTATCGATTTTGGTTCCCTTTTGTTGTGGATTCTTCTCTTGGTTTTTGATATTCACTCCAGCAGTCAACGAACAAGAAGTTGGCCAATTTTTAATATCAAAGGTTGTAGATATATCTGGCTATCTGTTGACTATCAGTATACCTGAATACCATGTCTCATTCCAGAACTTAAAATCAACCCCACAGTCACAGCCAAGAACAGAAACTTTTTGTTTTTTCCAGCTGTCGCTCTGCGTAAAACAGAAATATTTCTAATACATATACTTAGAAAGATTGTCATTTTAACTGAAAACTTCTGGAACTGTCTTTTTGGTTATTTAATTTTATTAATAGATAAAGTCACTTTTTGGTTTCTTATTGACGCTTGAAAGATAGCAAGGACTGTTTCGTTAAAGTTATCTTACCAAACGCTGAACTAAAGCATAAATTCAGAAAGTTTAGAAAATCCTTCACAAATATGATAATAAGGTACAAGAAGATCTTCCCGCTTTTTTCTGTCTGTACGAGTCTTACTAAACGCTCTTTCTCAATTAATTACAGTGTCAATAGTTCTCAGGATTACGGTTAACTGTACAAATAACAACAAATACATATAAACATTAAAACTTGAAGAATTAGAGAAAAGAAAATAAAGAAAATCATAGTTATATAAAAGAAAAAAAGAATAACAGAGTGGAGGTGGATAGAGAAATAAACAGACAAATAGTTATGTAGAGAGATAGAATTTCCAGCGAATAGAAACAGATGAAGTGATTACAATATATCGGTAGACAGGCAGTTCTATACGTACAGGTAAAGATATACAAACACAATGAAGTACATACACATAATCAGTCAAACATGAGGTGTTTGGGTAAGAATAAAGCTGATTACTTGGATTGGTAAGTGATATTTTTCTTACTAAACTCACCTTTCACGTTTTCTCATCTGTCTTATGTAGGTTATATTCATCAAGTCTGAAAGGCTTGTATTGGTCACCAACGTACGGTTATTGGCCAGCGTTTCCCTTTGGACGTTGTCCACCTCTGATGCATCGACAACACTAACAGGAAAAGGTGTGCGCCTGGTTACATGTTGTAAATCTTGTGTGAAAAACTTATTCTGTATGGGTTTACCCATGCACCGGCTGACCATTTCAACCATCAGAAGAAGCTTGTAATACCTTTTACACCAAACTTTGGGGTTTAAGAGAAGCATATTTTAAATTGTTTCAAGAAGATATTGGGGTACGAATGGATTTATCTGTGTTCAAGTAGCCAGTTCGCTCACTATAGACATATATCGTGTATTAGAACTTTTTAAAAAAAGAATATATTATTTTCTTTAAAAAAATACTATAGGGGAAGTACTGTTAGTTTTAGTTAGAGTGAAAAATGATATTTCCTAGTTAACAGATACAACGTTTAGAATATAACACGAAGTTCTTAGCGATAAGACCAACGTTGAATATGTTTCTTTAAATTCTTGATACAACCAGTAAGCTACTCGATGTGCCACTCCTCTTCTTTGACGGACAAACTGGAAGGCGTCTTTTCTTTTTATCGTCCTGCAGTCTGAACAATAAGCACGTGCATCAACACACCCGAATAAACAGACAATGTAATTTTCTCACGCCCCCTCCTCCTTCCAACAACCTATTTTTTTTACAAACACAGCACTTGTCCAATTACGATCTTGGAATAGTCCGTGACAGTTCTGCACGTGGAAGTAGGAGTTTAATTCGGGTATTAAGTGCTTCTGTGTGAAAGAGTCTAATCTAAAGGTAGGATTGAAAGGGATTGACCCGTGAATCTTCCTGTTTCTTCAGCCTTTCGTTAGTGTTCATGTTTGGTGAGACGTAAGGACACGAAGAGGACGGTCCTCATTAGACGAGCAGACGAGGACAGGCGGAAACATTAAGGGGTGTCTAGACGTATTCATTATTGAGTATACAGAGATGACAAGGAAGTTACATTAGCTAAATCATCATCGTGTGAAAATATTACCCTCGTTTTGCTTTGCTACAGGAGAGAGATGTAAGTTGTATTTAAGGATCGCTTGCTAACAAAGAAAGCCAACACAATTACAAAGCTAATCAGACTCGGCTTATCTCTTAACATATGGTACTCAGGTATTTTTCTAAGGCATACTTTATAAAACTTGACGTCTATTCCTGGAATTTTTGAACCTTTACGTTCCACTTTTCACAATTATTCAGCTATTATCGACTGCAAAATGAATATTTATATAATATTCTCCAAAAACGTTTCATTTGTTTCCAAAGGAAATTCATGTACTATTAAGAACACTCGGCGAGTAATGTAAAAGAATAATCTTTTACTTGGCACGTGCAAAAGTGACAAGAGTTTAGGATATTGCAACCTAGTTTGTTTTCTCGTGAAAACCTTGGTTACAGTTTATTTGATTGACCACGTGTCGAGATCTTTATGTTGTCGATGATCATCTATCTGTGTAGTATTCCTATAGCTGTCTGACCACGTGTCGCAATCTTTATTGTGTCAATAATCATCCATGTGTGTAGTAAACCTAGTGGTCTGACCACATGTTGAAATATTTATTGTGTCAGTAATCATCCATCTGTATAGTAAACCTAGTGGTCTGACCACATGTCGAAATATTTATTGTGTCAGTAATCATCCATCTGTATAGTAAACCTAGTGATCTGATCACGTATCGCAATCTTTATTGTGTCAATAATCATCCATGTGTGTAGTAAACCTAGTGGTCTGACCACATGTCGAAATATTTATTGTGTCAGTAATTATCCATCTGTATAGTAAACCTAGTGGTCTGACCACGTGTCGAAATATTTATTGTGTCAATAATCATCCATGTGTGTAGTAAACCTAGTGGTCTGATCACGTATCGCAATCTTTATTGTGTCAATAATCATCCATGTGTGTAGTAAACCTAGTGGTCTGACCACATGTCGAAATATTTATTGTGTCAATAATCATCCATCTGTATAGTAAACCTAGTGTTCTGACCACGTGTCGAGATATCCACAGTATCAGTAGTCATCCGCATATGTCGTAAACCTATATTCGTATGACCACGCGGCTAGATTTGTAAGAAGGATGGTGCAGGTTTTAATGGACTTAAAGAAAGACTAATAACACAGTATATATATATCTTGTGGATGAGACAAGGAACTATTGTGAGTATTACAGAACAGACAAATGATAATTTGGTACGATGAGGTGATCTTCTGATGCAAACTCAAAATAACAACAGATAAGTGAAATACCATGATAATGTGGTGCAAGGATGTGGTCTGCTGATGCAAACTCTAACAACAGGCAAGTAAGATATATTGATAATGTGGTGCAAAGATGTGGTCTGCTGATGCAAACTCTAACAACAGACAAGTAAGATATCTTGATAATGTGGTGCAAAGATGTGGTCTGCTGATGCAAACTCTAACAACATAGAAGTGCAATACGTTGATCATGTAGTATGAGGCGTTGGCAGGTGGATATATATTCTAGCAGAAGGTGTAGAAGGAAAAGAGAAACGACACAAAAATAACAGAAGTGGTCAGATAACACCAAGAAAATTACTAGATTGTAAACATTAGAAGTGATTCATCTCAGCAGAGACAGATGGAAAGTCATAGCCGTTAATCTTTGGAACAAAGAGAGAATGAATGCCCAATTGGTTGAGCCGCTTGATCACGTATTGAGATCCTTATAGTGGGAGTGATCTTCAACGTATGTTTTTAAACTTAAACCTCTAACCATGTCGAGATCTTTCTTCTACCATTAACGATCTACTTAATGAATCTAGTCGTGGATATCTTCATGTGTCAGTAATCAAGATATCTATATAGATATCGTAATTATTTTTCCATGTTTAGTTTTTTATCAATACGTCTCGCTGGGATTTTTTAGAAGACAAAATACAGGTCTTTATTTGACTGTAAACTAAAAATCGAATAGAAAATACTATTGAGTTAGGCTTACCTAGTAGTTAGTGTGCCGGAATGTGAATGTGAATCTCCATGGATTGCGTTCGATTGCTGCAAATACTCAATCGTCCGGTTGGGACCGACGATGCGCTATAAGAGTGATGGTCAAATCTCATTATTCGATTAGAATAGGTCTGGAATTGGTGGTGAGTGCTATTGACCAGCTGCCTTCCCTATGATCTATCAACTCAAAATTATGGTTGGCTAGTGGAACTAGCCCTTGTGTAAACTTGGGAAAAATTTCAAAACAACAAATAAGATCACCAGTGTGAGTTTCAACTACGTTTTCAGACCAAAATCGACAGATTTACTCTGACTCTTCTTCATCACTGTTTCGATATTTGTTATTATTTATATCATTTCTAACTGTATAAAATTCATTTGACACATATTATCGTGTTATTTGATTACATGTTTAAAAGTAAATTACACCTAGGAGTTTGTTTGTAGTTAAGCACAAAGCTACACAATGGGCTATCTGTGCTCTGCCCACGACGGGTATCGAAACCTGTTTCCGCAGGCATACCGCTGTGCCACTGGGGGAGGCTACACCTAGGAGACCATATGTTTAAATCATCGACTCAAGTATCACTGGCAATAGAGTTGGAAGACATCCTTTTATTCCACATTTACAAACATTTAAATTACTGTCACTATGACAAATTTCGCATTGAAATGATGGGTAGTTATTGAACTTTACGTTGTGTAAAGATCGGTTAATTAATCTCGTATGCCAATAAAGTAACCTTTGTGTTCGGAAACTTATCAAAAACTTTTAAAAAGAGTAAACTGTACACCATTATAAATAAAGAAACACGAAGAAAAAGACAAAAATTTTGAACAATAACGTGAAAGTGTATAGCTCCACGTGTCATTGGCTGGTAAACATTTGAACTGAAAGATAAACAACCAACGTACTAAAGCACTTTGCTGAAGACTTTCTAATTGAGTCTGTTATCGTGGCATCAGTAAAAGTAAATCAAGTCAATGTTTTCACATCTACTAAAGTTATTTTTTGTATTTGTTTGTTTGAAGTTAAACACAAAGATACACATATAGGCTATCTGTGCTCTGCTCACCACAGGTATTGAAACACGGTTTCTTGCGTTGTAAGTCCGCAGACATACCGCAGTGCCACTGGGGGAGGCCCTTGTATTTTAACACTCACTGTTATGCTATCAAAACGATGTACTTTTGATCATATAGAACTATATTTCTCAAACCTCTCGAAAGGGCCCGGCATGGCCAGGTGGTTAGGACGCTCGACTCGCAATCTGCGGGTCGCTGGTTCGCATCACCGTCACACCAAACATGCTCGCCCTTTCAGCCGTGGGGGCGTTATAATGTGACGGTCAATCCCATTATTCGTTCGTAAAAAAGTAGCCC